CGGGGCAGGGCGGGCCGGAAGGGGCTCTAGAGGACGGCGGCCGCCCACCAATTGGTAAATGGCGAAAGGCTAAAGGCTTGATTGGTGCAGATTGTCGCGTTACGGCAGCGGAGGCTGCTGCCATGGGCGGCCGTGTTAGGCTGGGCTGAGGCTGCGCCGTCAGCCCACCGGGATCCTGCCTGCCCACGGCTGCCCGCGCGGCTGCGCACACGGGAGGAACAAGAGGTCGGCGCAGCGCGCAGCGGAACCAGAGTTTATTCGGATACGTTATTCGTCACCGTCATTGCAAAAAGAAAAAAAAAATGTAACGAATTCGAAAAATAATTGTTGTTATTTTTGTAATAAATGTGTACAGTAAAGCGCGCAATTTAAAAGGAAACGCCTTAGTCTGCTGAGAGTACTCTGGCGTGCACCCTTCGCCCTTGGGGTGGCCGCTGGCGACGCCGCGGGGCAAGCCTGGGCCCGGCCCCCGGGCGGGCAGGCCGGCCGCGTGCGAAACACCCCCGGGGCCTCCCTCTCCCTCCCACCCACGGCCGGGGCCAGCTCCCCGCGGGCCGCCGACGCCCCGGCGGCCGTCAGTCGCGAGCCGGTCGAAGTGTCCGCCGTACCTCCGTGCTGCCCTCCCCGACGCCGACGAGGAGCAGGAGGTCAAGGAGTAGTGTCGGGCCCGCGAGTGCGTGCGAGTGCGTGTGGTGCGCGGGGCATGCGCGCGGCCTGCTGAGGCCCTGCAGAGGTGCAGTGCACTGTGCAGTAGCCGGGCGCATCCCTCACGATGCAGCCCTCCGACCTGGTGGTCGCCGTGCTGGCGCTGGCCCTCGTCGCCCTGCTGCTCAAGCAGACCGACGCCGCCTCCGCGTTCCCGCCCGAGGTCAAGACCTACACCGAGAAGGAGGCGAGGAAGTTCCTCAAGAACCTCAACCTCGAGTGGGCCAAAAAGACCAACGCCTACTACCTCGCCAAATGGGACTACGAGACGGACATCTCGCGCAGGACGTTAGGCCAGGAGGTGCGCCTCTTCACATTAAATCGTCAAATAAGTGAAATTCTATAACGTTTGGAGAAAGACGTTTGGGGAGTTACGCCGTCTCGTTTCAACAGAAGCATTCCTTCCACAAGAACTGTGATGTAAGAGTAGCCTTTGTGTGTTCTTTCAGCTCAAAGTGTCCTTCGAAGTGGCTAAATTCCAGAAGCAACAACGGAAGGAAGCGGTGAAGTACCCTCGAGAGAAATTTGCTGATAAGGACATCAAACGGCAGTTGGGCATGTACTCGAAGCTTGGAGCACCCGGTCTCCCGGACGACAAGTATGTCACAGTAAGTGCAATAGTTACGAAATGTACAGATACACACTCTTAGATCACTGGAAGCATTTCACACCTCTCCACTGGACCAATCAGTTCCAGAACGCAGCATCCGACTTGGCGGTGGCGCGAAGGTGCAACAGAGATTTTGCGTGCAAACCTTACGAGGGAAAGCAGCCTGGTAGGTCATGTACATCAACATTTACAGCCACGAAATAACTTCTACCCCCATAAGTTTATGTGCTCGTGGACACACTTGTGTTGTAGACGACGAGTACAGAGAGAAACTGCACTGTTGGCTTCGCTTCCGCTACGGAAAGAACAGCACTGACACGTTCCACCAGCTGGTGGAGCTCGCGCAGCAGGCCGCCTCTCTGGACAGTAAGTTCTCTGACCCCAGGAGTCCTTTACCTCTCAAGCCCCTCGCCCGCACAGCGTCAAACTATCCGCCCACCCTCTACCTTATTGCTCTTCCAGACTACACGGACTTCACGCGATACATGCTGAGGAACTACGAGCAAGACGACCTGCTGGACAAGATGAAGCTGCTGGTGGACGGCGTGCACCCGCTGTACAAGCAGCTGACGGCGTACTGCCGCCACCGGCTGCGCCAGCACTACGGCCCCAACAGCGCCCCCAACGGCGGCTTCATCCCGGATCACCTCATCGGTACGCCCCTCGCGGCCTCGCGGCCTGGCCGGCCTGCGCACCGCGTCGCAGCCGGAAAGTTCTCACTGACACGATTTACTGTTTCCAGACGACCCCCTGTGCAAGACGGACCCCGTCCCGCGCAAGCCGCTCGACTTCCCGGGAGCCCTCCGGGCCAAGGTGTGTGCGAGCAGCGCGAGGTGCAGCGACAAAACGCCTCTCTCCAGGACGGCGACGTAACCTCACTTACCTTTCTTGTTGTGCAGGGCTTCACGGTGAGAAAAATTTTCTTCCTCCCCGACGAGTTCTACCGGTCACTCAACATGACTGGGGTGCCGGACGCCGTCTGGGACAAGTCGATCCTGGAGTCGGACGCCAACAAGACCATGAGCTGCAAGCCCGTCGCGCAGGACTTCCTGGACAACAAAGACTACCGGTAAGGACAGGGGTCGGACAGGGGACAGCGGGGCGCTCTCAAACCAACTCAACGCAACAGTTGGTGCCAAAGTGCACACACAGCAGGAGCAAAACAAACAAACAAACAAACAAACAAACAAACAAACAAACAAACAAACATGAAACACACATAGAGGCTGGTGCCGGTGACTGAAATGCACGATGATTCCTTTCTGGACCCTCGTTTACAGTATTCGTGTGTGCGGCACTGTGTGCGAAAAGACTCTCTTCGCCGCGTCCTCGCTCGTCACCGGCGTCGTGTACGGCATGGAGATGCGCTCCCAGCCCAGCGTGTACCGCCAGACCATGAACGATGGTGAGTCACAATAACCTCCTTGGGACATTTTGAGGTTATGCGATGCGTCGGCCGAGTGACTCGGACACATTTTCAACTCACCAGCGTTTGTGGAGGGCATCGGCGGGCTCGTGGCGCTGTCG